CTCGTGTGCACTTCGATGACTCCTGTCAGCCCTAACTGTAGCTTGGGTGAGATGTGATGCTAGAAGTGTTTTCCGGCTCACGATGTACATATTGATCGAGACCGCTGCATATTGAGAGCTTCATTTTACTGCAATATAAAAGGCTGGATTCCTTGAAAAATAGGCTCGAAGACTTAGGTCGGCATAGGAGCGGGTTTCTGCATTGGTGGGTGGTGAAGCTGCAGAATGCGCCCCCACACAAACAGGGGTTGAAGCAACACTAAGAATAGTTGACTAACCCAGACTCCGGTTCTGCCCGTCAAGTCACGTGATAAAAACAGAGTATCTTAGGCTCGATCCCTGCCCTGAGCGAATTCATCTCCGGCTGATTCTAAGGAAAGGATATTGACCAAGAGACCACCAAACAGTGCTGTTACCATCTTAGACAGCCATGCCGCCATCAATTGGGTGATCAAGGCGTGACCCTCCTAGTAATGCAACGGTGCAGGGAACACCTGCATATGTTACGCCATCATGGGTTGCATGTCGGAGTCAACGGCTCAGCGGTCGTTCATTCTGAGCGACACCAGTTGACTGGCGAGCTCCGAATGGCTAGTAGCGTGAGGAGGTGAGCAGAATGCAGGAGAGCGGAGAATAATCGTCAATTATTGGGGAGTGCAGATACCAGCCACGCCGGGAGACCGACGGATACCGCGCCGATCGCCGTCCCAACCTCATCACGCCTTTCAGGCTGCCTGGACTGATTGGCAATCGGCAGTTCCACCGATTAGATAAAGCTCTGCTCGCGAAAAACAAAACCCCGCATAAGGGTCTGGGAGGTAATAAACTCTGGGGTTTCCCCAATTCTTCCATCGCACAGCCATCATGTTCCTTTCGCTTCCCCTTCTGGGGACCCTGATTGCCTCGACGGTTGCCCTGGACTCCAGTCCCCTGGAGTTGCGGACGCCACACCTGCACCAACTCAGCCAGCTCAGCAAGTCTCACCAGGCTTCTCCCAACCAGGAATCAGCAAGCTTTCCTGTGTACAATCTCTCCGTGCCCATAGACCACTTTCACAATGAATCGCGCTATGAGCCGCACACCAATGCCACCTTCGGCCTGCGCTATTGGCTTGACACCAGCCATTACCAGCCGGGAGGCCCTGTTTTCGTGATTGCTGCAGGCGAAACCGATGGAAGCGACCGTATTCCCTTCCTTTCACAAGGCGTGGTTACTCAGTTAGCTGCAGCCTACAATGGAGTTGGCCTTATCCTCGAACATCGCTACTACGGCGAGAGTTACCCGTTCGCCAACCTCACTACCGAGAACATTAGATTCTTGACCACCGAGCAGGCGCTCGCAGACTACGCTTACTTTGCCTCGAATATTGTCTTTCCCGGTCTGGAGCATCTCGATCTCACGGCAGCCACCACGCCATGGATCGCCTATGGTGGCTCCTATGCTGGTGCCTTTGTCGCATTCCTCCGCAAGCTCTATCCGGATCTCTATTGGGGCGCCGTGTCATCGTCCGGCGTCACGGAGGCCATCATCGACTATTGGGAATACTACGAGCCGATCAGACTGTATGGTCCATCGCAGTGTATCTCCACCCTGCAAACGTCAATCGATATCGTGGATCGTATTCTCATCGATCACGCCGACAATGAAACTCTGGCCCAACAACTGAAATCCGCCTTTGGAGGCTCCGCGACCAACCTCGGTAACCAAGACTTTGTCTCCTCCCTCTCTTACGGTCTGGACTCATTCCAGTCCCGCAACTGGGACAAGTCTATCGGAACTCCTCTTTTCCGTGCTTTCTGTAACAACATCACCAATTCGGATCTGCTGTACCCCGAAACCGCTGAGCCCATCTCCGCATCAGTCAAGCAATTGGTCCAAATTGCAGGCTACGATTCCTCCAACACAACCCTGGTCAACAACTTCCTCAACTGGATCGGGTTCTTGAGTACCTCGAAAGTCTTCGCCGACTCATCCTCGGAGTCCTCATCATCTAGCGTCACGAATTCCACTGTTCCACAACCCCTCACTAAGGACTCTGGCACCAGCTGGAACTACCAGGTGTGCGTCGAATGGGGATACTTCACCACGGGCTCCTCGGTGCCTTCGAATATCAAGCCCCTTATCTCTCGTCTCCTTGACCTGCCCTATCTTTCATCCTTCTGCCCGAACACATTTGGTATCAAGACACCGCCAGATGTTCAGCGCATTAACCAATTCGGCGGGTTCAATTTCTCGTACCCTCGCGTCGCGATAATTGGCGGGTTGGCAGATCCGTGGCGCGATTCAACACCATTGGCAGACGGAGTCGACTGGCAGAGTCGGAAGTCGACTGATAGCGAGCCTATTATTTTGTTGGATATCCCGGCGGCGGATGTGTGGGATGGTGTGAGAGGTGCGGTCCATCACTGGGACCAGAATGGGTTGTCGGCAGAGCAGGAGAAGGATGGCGAGAAGGCGCCTAAGGAGATCGTTAGTGTGCATAATGAGGTAGTGAGGTTTGTGGGGGTTTGGTTGAATGAGTGGAAGGGGAAATCGTCTGATGTGGATGATAATATTTATCAGACTGTTTTGTAGATTCGAGGTGAAGTAGATTACGCTGTGATGAACGATCCATAGTGAACATAATCGTTCACTGAACATTATGTGCACATTTTAAAACATACTTTACCCCAGAAATATCTCCCAGTATTAGTAAGAACCACCCTCAGAACGGCTCTCTAAACAACCCATCCAAACCCCTTGCCACAGCCTTCTCATCCTTCCAAGCATCCGCAATACTTGCATCGCGCTCGCGACACCGCTCCGGCCCTCCCACGACAACACGCTGCTCCCCAAGCCGACGAGCCTCCCTTACCAACATCGAGGTCCGTGGCTGCCTCAACCGCGCAAACTCCTCGAATATACCCGATAGCCCCTGTTCGACCACACCCCAGTTCGCCTCATCCAAACTCAGATCCGGAAGCATGCGACAAAAATGATAGCAATCCTCCCTACCCAAACTAACATTAGCACCCACACGAATCACCCTCTTATAATGAGACAGTTTAACTTACAAAGCCTGATTTGCCCCCTGCCCCAAATGCGGACTCGTCGGATGCGCCGCATCACCGACCAATACTACACGATCAGAAAACCACTGTTCGGCAGGATCCTCCCGGCGGTCAAACAGACCATACGAGATGATCCGATCTGCGGTGTTTATCATTTCCAAAACGCAGTCTTCAAAGCCAGATAATCTCTCTCTCAGCTTCCCTCGTAGGGATTCCAGCTCGGTTCCAGCAGTAGCAGCCCGCCACGTACTATCTTCACCCTCTGTATCTGGGATGGTAACCGCCCAGGAAATATCCTCGGCAGAGATAGGATATGCGACAACGTGCACGCCCTCGCCATACCAGTTACTCAGGGAAATATCTCTCTTGGCCATGGACTGAGGGGTCTTAGATATCCCCGCTACTTGAATCAAGCCGGTGAATGTTGGTGGGCCTTCGGCTATTCCTACTTTCTGGGAGAGGAGGAGTTTTCTCGTTGATGATTTGATTCCGTCGCAGCCAATGAGGAATGAGCCTGTGACTGATTCTCCGTTGGTGAAGTATGCCGTTACTTGGTTCGCGTGTTCGTGGATGTTCTCGAGCTGGTATCCTTCGTACAGTGGGATACCATGTTCCTGGAGGGTGGTCTTCAGGTGAAGATTGATTACGCTGCGCTTTATTCCGCTGGCGGGCTGGGTGTAGCGGTTCATGTATGTTGACGGGAGGGTGGAGTGGCCGAGGGTTTTGCCACTGGCTGTGCCATGCCAGAGGGCTTGGAGGGGGGTTATGATTGGGAGGGGTTCATTGGGGGTGATTAAATTGAGGATTTTCATCCTGTGAATATTATTGTTAGTGGATGAGATGTTGTATAGATTGGGGTGGTAAGTTCTAAAGAATATTTACCCGTTTGGCTGTATCATCAATGATGCACCGGCATCGCCGAGAGCTTGAACCTTTTCGAATACGATAGGGTTGTAGCCTTTGCGCTTTAGTAGTATGGCGAGGACAGGACCGGCGATGCCGCAGCCGATTATCAGGACGGTTGGGGAGGTCATTGTTAATGTGATCGAGCGATAAAAACTTTTTGTTTCCGTAGAAAAAATCATGGGATTGTGGGGGTTTTATAGCTATTAGGGTGCGACGGAGATTTGGTGTTCGGAGAGTCCGCGGAAGGTCCGGACGGGAGGAACGGCGGCATGATTGTGACAGGATATGGATAATACGACCCTCAAGATATTGTATACACTTCAACTATGGAAAGCCTCATGTAGTCATAAATATATAACTAGGGCAAACCAGTCCGTGTAAGCACCGACATACTCATTATTCAATAACGCCGATCGGCACCCAACCGAGAGATCCACGGATAGATAAGGAACCGCCATGAGCTGGCTTCGGCTAGCGCCGAGCGTTGGTTCTCGGCGCACCAATGAGCTTAATTCAAGTCCTACAACCCTGGTCACCAGCTGCATTTAGCTGCTGCCGTCTGCCTATTGTATGGTAGACTATCCTGAAGTTTGCCGGCGGCGTGCAGCTGGCGTGCTCGTGGCTACTCCATGTCGGCGATTCTGAGACCAAAACATCCCACACCCGGGAATCCCACAGTTCTTTGCGAGCTGTTTGAACATTGATTCTTGTAAATTCGGTGTTGGATCCGCTTATGATCACGGTTATAGCTATATCAGTGAAGCACAATTCAACAAACGATATTATAATATTTGGGAATGAGGCTGGGTGGGGAGTAAGGTACCTACCTTAAGATACCAATTCACTAGACACGATGATCTATCTGAGCACTGGCCGCTGGTCCCCTGCACGGTGCCAGGACAATTCAAAACATTTCCCCAGCCAGTCTCCATAGATAATGTGAGTGGTCCCCCGTATTTCCCCAACTTCTTTCCGAACCCCGACGCCACAGGCTTCGTTTACCCACCGGTTACAGCTTGCAGGGCGCATCCTTTGCAAGCCACCATGAACCTGCAACAAGCTATACGGCGACTCTTCTCAGTCAACACACAATATTCACTGTCTGAAGACGCTACCTCTAGAAGCCACGTCGTCGCTCACAAGCTCCGCAATGTCCCCCGCTGCTCAGTACTGATCCCGATCCGCATCCCCTACCTTCCACTAATCTCATCATCCTAGTTAAACTGCCTCTATCCTCAAATTCTCTCCATCTGCTCACATACCGACTACACATGCTTGTGCGCCAATTTATCTACAATAGCAGCAACTACACATTTCCAATCATGTTTCCACCAATGTCCCGTCAATCCCGACCAGCGACGTCAGTATATTCTCCCTGTCTGCCAACCAACCAACGCCCTAACCCACAGTAAACAGTGACACCCAACTCCCTCCTCTCCCTCTGCGACCTCTTCAGCATCCATCAAACCCTCCCAGACTACATGACCGCAAACGTTAACCTTGACCGCCGAGCCGAGTTTATCAACGATGCGCAGACCATCTACTCCATCGTGACAACAATCTACGCTTCCACACAATCAACATCATCAACCGAGGCTTCATCACCAATAGTCACCGAGGTCCTTACCGTGAGCGCTGAGTCCGGGGTCGGAACAACAACACAAACAATTTTCAGTACCGCAACCGACTCTACGACATCAGATGACGACACACCTACAACTACTTCCGAACAACCCAACGTCGTCACAATAACAGAAACCCGCCTCGTCTCAACAATGCGTATGACATCAGTAGCGACACAAACGTCTTCCTCTAATAACAATAACACGGGAGGTTTGTCTACGGGCGCTAAGGCCGGGATTGGGGTAGCGGTGCCCATTGGCGTTGCTATCATCGCGCTTTTAATATTTGCTTGGTTTCAAAGGCGCAGGAAGAGGAAGCAACAGGCTGGTGATGTCAGTAACAGTGAGGAAAGCGGACAGGCCACAACGATACAGCATGCGGAAGGCAAGGGTCCAAGTATGGCCCAGAACATTACGACTGTACTCCCCGAGATCGACGGCGCACCACTCAACGAATCTGATAGTCGGCCCGTACATAATTCGGCTGATCGGCCAGTATTTGAGCTAAGTACTGGGTCTGTTCGAAGGCCGAGGCGGGATGATACACAAGATGTATCTGGAGCTGTTGGGGTAGATGAAATGAACGCTAAGCAGGGTGCTGTGGGTGGTGAGGTCGCATCGTCAGCCTCGGTTACATTGGGTGAAGCGCCGGCTGAGCTATCTTCTGATGGCGTTCGAGACGGGGAGTCGACAGCATCAGTAGTAGCGTACGAAAGGATGAGTTCGTCGGAATTACAGGAAGAATTAGCTAGAGTGGCCAGGAGTAGAGAGCGGTTGCAGTATTTACAGACTTTAGAGGAGAGAGAGGATATGATCCGGAGGGTGCTTGCAGGGCATGGGGAGGATAATGTGTCGAGGGCCGAGAGTCGAAGAGAGGGTGGTAGTGGGTGATTTTTGATGAGATAATGAGCTATGGGATGTTGATGAATGCGAGTAATATTTTTCATTGAATCTACTACTCTACCCCCACACATTATATATCATCTACCCCAAAATCTAATACTTCAACCAAGCCCTCACAACCGACCAAGCCTGCCACGCAGCCGCAGCCCCGACAGCCCATCCATTCTCATTGATACCATGCTTGAAATACCAGGCCGAGCTAGCCCATAGTGCCGCATTGAGAATGATAGCGATGGCCTTGTTAGTAGGTTCCTGGAGGGCTCGGGGGTTGCGGGCCCATTGGTAATGGAGGATGCCTATAAGGATTATTATTGAGTTCTTCCTTTGGACTTAGATAAAGAATACTTACCAGTCGTGAAGAGAAAGGCGCTTCCCTAGACGTATTGTTAGTATCTATGATTGTCTTGATATTTGCTACGAAGGGTGGTGGATGAAGTACCTGGAACCAGCCGACAATGCCGAGAGCCCAGGGCTTGGTGCCAGCGATGGTGCGATAGGCTGGTTCGGCGGTCCATTGAGTTCCTCCGAGCTGGTCATTGTTTGTTAGCACATTGATGATGTAAGTAGATAAGTGTCTATCAATTTAATAGTAGGAGCTTTGTAGACTCGTTATTGTGGCCATTGGAGCTCATGCAGCAGTAGGGATCAATGACGCCATGGGTAGCTAGTTTCCTAGGAGCTAGAGCTGACATACCGTGTGTCCGACCGCCAGAACGACGAATGAAAAGGCCGAGGCCTTAAGGGAGACGGATGACGACGCCATGTTGATTCTGATAAGATGATAACTGATCGGGATCTAGTGCCAGGATCTAAAATAATCTAAGAATATAAGTGCAACAAAAGAAGGAAAGAAAGAAGATTCGAAAGTTCGAAACCTGGTGCGGAGGTAATGGCATGATTACAAATACTACGAGCAAAATTCTCCCGGTGACGAGACTCGAAAGTCGCCGAACCCGAGGCCCGGAGGATTGGAAGGATTGAAAGGATTAGTAGTACAACAAGGAGCTGGAGGACAGCTGAATTCACATTTTAACGTAAGAAGTCCTCTTTTCTTTTTGAATGTGGACTCTATCTCTTCACTTTCTTTTTCTGTCTTTAGTCTGTTTTCTCCATTAAATTTTTTCCTAGAAAAAATGCATACCGCCTTCTGTATCAGGAAGTAAATGTACCGAGGCGATAAAGGCCCTACAAATCATGGAGTTTTCATGTGCACTTTGTACGCAGTCCTCCTCCTTAAAGACTTGTAACATACTCCATTTTTTTACCACTATGGATGCAAATACAAACCCAAAAATCGGGCAGGAGTAATCCATAAACGTTCATGGGTCCACTTAGTTCTCATGTCAATATTGAGGCAACCATGCAGACGCGACGCGCTTGTGATTACTGGCTCTGCATCCCTTTGGCCTAAATGCCAGATTCCTAACACAACCCCAGAATATGCAAGGTTCTGCAGAGATTTGCCCAATCGAATAATATTATTCCTCATGAGTGTTACACAGAAGGGTTCTATAGAAATTAAAGAATGAAAGTCAAAGTCCGATTACTGTATAAAATGTGGTATACCCCCTCAGGTGATGGCGGCCACCGAACTTAACCAAAGCAGTAGTAAGCCATGAGATTCGCCAGTACAGCAGCAACCCTCACTGCCTTCGCGGTATTTGGAAATGCTAGAACTTGTACGGAAACTGAGGTGGTCATATTGTAAGGCTCTCTATCGATCGAGAACTGAAGGTTTCTACCATTCGAGCTGACGTTCTGAAGAGGTGCTGGTGTGGCGGGCATGACTGCTGCAGTATGCTCGAGTTGCGACTTGTGTGGGGCCATGCTGATAATCGCAGGAAACACTGCACAACAATGGTGTCGAAGATTTTATCGTACTAGAGTATCAGGACCGTATTGGTGGGCGGATGCACGAGGTTACCTTTGGCAAAGGGCAACAATATGTAGTGGAGGCTGGGGCTAATTGGGTCTGCTGCTATTCTCCGATCCCTTATTGAGAGGTATAAAACTGACATGGGTGCCAGGTACACGGAACTGGAGGACCTGAAACACATGTGAATCCCATCTGGGACTTGGTAGGATCCGCGGGTATGCATCATTCTAGCAGAGAGTATGACTGACAGCCAAGAAAGGCTATTAAAGCCAGCCTCCGCACACTGTATGTCTTCCCTCACCACTACTGAATACTACACAGCCGACTAACGTACACCAGAACCAGTGATGTTGAGAATGCCACGGTATACGACCAGACGGGAGAAATACCACCCGAGCTCTTGTTCAACGCACTGGAAGCTGTCAGCGACGCCGACTCCGAGGTCCTCGCCGACGCTGGCATCCGACTTCACCACCACCTCGAAGACCGTACATACCGCGCGGCCCTTCGCCGACAGGGATGGAACCCGAAAGAGACGAATCAGTACGAGCAACTGGCCGACTATCTGGCATTTGACTCGGTCACAGCAGCCAAGGCGGAAGAAACTTCCGAGATCTATACCGCAGCAACGACCAATGCGACGGCCAAGTTCTTCTCTCACCGAAAGGAGTTCAGCTTCGATCAGCGTAGGTTCTCCATCATCCTAAGGAATGTAGCAGATCCACTCTTCGAAGGACAGAATGCTTGGCGCCTTCGGAAAAACACCATCGTCAAAGAAATTGAGCACGACGATGACTCTGTGACAGCATATAGCACGGATGGGAAATGTGTGCGAGCCAAGTACGCCATTATAACATTTTCTTTGGGTGTGCTGCAGCATCCTGAAGCTGTGAAGTTTACGCCCGAGCTACCAAGGTGGAAGAAAGATGCCATTGCGAGCTTCGAAATGGTCACGTATACCAAAATATTCATGCAATTTCCGCATTCCTTCTGGCCCACGAACCAGTATCTGTACTATGCCGACCCGCATACTAGAGGCTATTATCCGATGTTTCAGCCATTGGACGTCCCTGGTATGTTGGAAGGCTCGAATATCCTGGTCGTTACTGTTGTCAACGATCAGGCGCATCGGGTTGAGCGGCAAAGCGAGGACAAGACTCAAGCTGAGATAATGGAAGTATTGCGCAAGGTCTTTGGGGACGAGATCATCCCGGAACCGATAGAGATTTACTATACGAAGTGGACGCAAAATCCTTGGTAGGACTCTTCCTTAGCTACTTGGCTGGAGTTGTTTTGAATGCTAACTGTTCAGGTCGTACGGCTCGTACTCGAACTGGGCACCCGCAGTATCTGCCCAGACCCATCGGAATCTCCGAGCGAATGTTGGGCGGGTTTTCTTTGCTGGAGAGGCTACAAGCCCAAGCTTCTCGGGCTTTCTGCATGGTGCGTACTATGAAGGGAAGCGTGCGGCGAAGTCTATTACTTCGTGTTACGACGACCCAGGATGGGGTGACTGTATGCCTGATAGAGAAGGGGTTGGCACTACTCCGATTTTGAGCTCTCGTAACCATGGTTACTCTGTTTAATCGCTATGGCAAAGGGGACGGATGATGGAGGGGTGCTTTGTGGAAATGGTAGTTTATCCCACTTCTACTTTCAAATATGTCTTTGTACACATCTGCGTTTTTATAGTACCGTAAGGATGGTGCTTTTATATAGAAGGGTATCTCTATCTATACATTCGATCGTATTCAATTCAATCCTTCATCAACTATTTGTACAAGTTCTGGTGGGTGAAACTGTGTATGCAGAGGCAATTCCACGCTCAGATATATTTAAGTGGTCATAATCTTTCGAAAGAATGGCTGTCGACTACTGAAAACGGTATTTTTCTAACAGAAATACCTGAAATCACAGTAAAAAGCATTTATACGTAGATCGATAGCCATATAACCTGATTAATATATAAAATGGACAGCAGATAGAGATTCACGTAAGAATCACCACTAAATAACTTGGCTTAGGCCATAACTTTTAATGGTATCTCGTACTTCGTCTATGATTAGGAAAATCATCCAATTGGCTGCAAATTGGGTAACATTTACTGCTAGTAAGAATACCAGCTTCCAATTCGGGTCCAGGGTATCATCATTTAACATTCCAGGTTTGAACTTGTCACAGATAAGTGTTATAGGACTATCAGTAAGAACTATGTCTCTTGTATAAATTTTCTAGAGACTTGTTCTCTATTCAGCCGGGCATGCTCAGCATGCTCCACAGTTATCATGGCACGAGATGCAATGGATCGCCATGCCATTCAGTCCTCCACTCGGTTTTCAATCATCGTAGCCCGCGCGTCCTCCTACAACGACGCCTAATACGTGCTAGAAAATGCGCCATTTGGTCTATCTAAATCAAAATCAATAGCTGGTCAATAAACGTCGATATAATCTGCGTCAATATAAAATAGCGCCCAACCCGACTTTACTCCGAATGGTTGAGTTCAGACGCCGAGGTGGGGATACCGTTTCCGCCGAAATACGAAAGCTCACTCCGTCAAACGCCGATTGGTCACGCATAATTGTACCCCGCACAGAAAACCGAGATGTGCCCTGGTTCAGGTTGACCCAAAAGGTTGACCGTTCCAGGTTTAGCCTCATTTATTCCATAACTGGTCTTTGCCCAGGCTGAAAATCAACTTCGCTCTCCGATACCATGATCACCCCATCATGGTAGCATCATACACGCTTTCCAACTCCCTAACCATCTTCCCGACATCCTCATACACCCCATCCGCTTTCATTGACACTCTCAGCGACTCAATCCCCATGTGTAACTCCTCCTCGAGCCTTTCTGCATCCTGTATCGCCGTCCGCTCAGTCGGCCGATCTAGCAGGTTATAGATACTGCCCAAATTACCCGCGGACAAGGCCGCCCGCACGCGCCACAGCACCATGGCAAGTACATAAAAGCTCTGCATCCCACACCAGGCCATGTATGGTAAAGAGCGTGGTGAAGTCAACGATCGCCTCGGGTCTCCACTACTAAGTCCAAGCCCAAATCCAAATCCAAAGGTCTCTCCATCCGCAGGAGTATCGGAGTACATCGGATTCGGTGTAGGCAGGTGACGGAATACGCGAGAGATCAACAGCGCAGAGCGAATGCAGATACGCGTGGACTCTTGCTCATCGAATGGAAATAGAGCATCGATTTCAGCTCTTCGGGACGGAGAGAGGGGGGTGCTAGTTCCGCTAGTACTGTTGTTGGCAGTAGTCGTGAAGCTATCGGCAGGACGGTCAGGGAAGGCGCGAACTCTATGGAGGAGCAATCTAGCCGTGTGAATTAGGACTCGGGATATTGCCCAGAGCACGCGCTCCGCGTCGGCTTCCGTGCCTTGGCAGTTGGCTATGCAGCGGTAGCGGTCTGTTTCGGTGGCTATATCGAGGAGAGAAGAGTCGAGGAGATTGACTTCGTTGTGGAAAGAACGGGGAAGACATCCTTGATCGTGAGTGGTTTCGTTGAAGAGCTGGCGGGTGATGGTGCAGCTACGGTGAAGGAGGGATTGTGCTTGTACGACGTAGGGCCATGGCTGATGCTTGTTAGAAGACATGGACGTCAGGAGGAAAGAGTTGCGCACCTCTCGACAGCCACGAATTACTATATAAGGCGTGGTAATGCGGAAGTCATCGCTTGTGATTAGGGGTGCCTACATTGCCAAATAAGCGAGGTCACGCCTACGTGATTGAACGTTGCAAACATACCGAAGCTGTCAATATAGTAGACTGATAAACGAGGAACATCTGCGACAGTCAACATAATTTTACGGGCTATGGATGAGAGAACACATGTGACATACCGTCGACCACCAACAGCGACGGATCGCGTCGGGACAATTATTTGCAGACTTCTGCGTATGTAACGATAAGTCCATAGCCATGGTTAAAGCCTGATTGGCTCGGATGCGCATCTTGGAGACATTTCCTCGCTGGCAGCATTCGTATAGGCTGAGAAGCGCTAATGCCAGGACCGGCTCCATTTGCCGGGGAATATCCGGATGCAAGGGGCTACCTGGGCCCTGCGTGAGATCGGAATTGGAAGACGGCTGGAGAGATTCTTCGGATACATCTAGCGCTGAGCGTGCAAAATAATCGGCATAAGAGCATCGCAAGGTGACAGCCTCATTCTCTATCGCGTGCACATCTCCCGGTAGGGGTATCAGTGCCAGTATTGCTGCCACGGCCAAGCCCAGTGAGGTAGTCGGCCAGTAAGGCAGATGAGATGCATCTACATGGGCCGACCGCATGCTCAGAGTCACAGGCTTGTCCACATACTGGGACACAGCCGGTGGGGGTAGTAGAGGGAGGTATGGATGTATGAAGATGTAGTAAGCATTGATCCTAAGGTACGATCGGAGAAGGATCTGTCAGTTAAGGGTCCGGTGGGATATTGCATGGGTACGACATACAGATCCTGATCACACCGATAAGCACGGAGGCTTCGTGTCGGATGGCCCACAGTTCCCCGAAGCTCCTGACCGGTTCTAGGGCCTCTAGGCGATAACGGAAATTCCGGGCTGTCTTTTCTCTGCAGCGTATCGGATAGTCGGGATCCGGTTTCAATCGGAGACGGAGATGGAAGAGAAACCGGGGTAGCTGCATTGATCTGCAATATCTGGGCCGGAGTAAACTCATCATTTGTCACAGCATGATTATTGGCCCTGGTTGCAGTTTGCAGTCGTTGGGCCTTTTTCATGGCCCGCTCCTCGGCGGCAACAGGGCCCCGTCGAGCACCCCCTCGCCGACTGGGTTGATACCGGCATTCTTGTCGATGGATAGTGCACTACACAGGGTTACTAGAGATCGATTGTTGATTTGGAAATACAGTTGACTTACATTAACGCACGGTTTTTGCCCGTCACATCGAATTTTGGAGGCTCGACTGGTTATGTTAAAATTCGGTCCCTTGTATCAATCCCCGTGGACTCATCACTCGATCAACTTACCAAGCCAGACAGGCCACCTTCACCGGTCGAGAAGTGGAAGGCATTATCCTCTCCTTTATTCTTGTTTCTCTGTATTGAGCAGGCGGTTTTATTGAATGAATGTACACATACAGGGCACGAGAAAGAACAACCTAGGCATCACTCAGTTTTGGGGAGAAAGGAGAGTTGGATGTTTCGGCGTCTGAACTTCGGCGAATGAAACGGGTATTAGTCAAGCATCGTACTGATTGCGCCACTCTCGGCCTTGCCGGGGACCCACTTGCCCCCTCCTTTGACAAACGCTGTACTCTTCGTATTTAGATCTAAAATGACCGATTCATCCGCCCATCTATCGTGACGTCTTCTCTAGCAGATATTTCTTTGTTCAGTCTCCCTTTCAATGATCCTGGAAGGCATTGCAACATGACTACAGAAACAGTCCAGGCCATCCCAGCAAGCGAGGAGTACTACGACCTTGGCTCCTATGGTCACGTTATCAGCACTACCAGCGCCGACACCCAGACCTGGTTCAACCGGGGTCTAACATGGGTCTACGCCTTCAATCACGTAGAAGGGGCCTACTGCTTCGAACAGGCCATTGCAAATGATCCGACGTGCCCAATGGCATACTGGGGGCTCGCCTATGCTGTAGGTCCAAACTACAATAAGCCCTGGGAGAGGTTCGATAAGAGAGACTTGGATGCCTGTGTAGAACGAGGATTCTATGCCGCACAGAAGGCCAAGGAGCATGCGGAGAATGCCACACCCCTCGAGAAGGCTCTCATCGATGCAATTCAATCTCGTTTCGTCGCCGACACCCCGCCTAACGATTACCCGACCATCAACAAGAGCTACGCCGCCGCCATGAAGCTAGTTTACGATGCTTTCGGGGATGATATCGACGTGGCCACGCTCTATGCGGATGCGTTGATGAACATGACTCCGTGGGCGCTGTGGGATCTTTTCACTGGAAAGCCGAATGCTAACGCGCCCACGATGGAAGTCAAAGCCGTTCTGGACCGAGCGCTCACTTATGAGAATGCCAATCTCCATCCCGGCCTGCTTCATCTCTACATCCATTATATCGAGATGTCACCTACCCCAGAACTGGGCATAAATGCAGCCGATAAACTTCGTGACCTTGTCCCGGATGCCGGTCATATCCACCACATGCCTACCCATCTGGACATCCTCATCGGAGACTGGAGGCGTTCCATTGCTTCTAACTATAACTCGACCCTTGCGGACGACAAGTACTTCCGCAAAGCAGGTGCTGCCAACTTCTACACCTTCTACCGTATGCACGACTACCACTCCTTGATCTACGCAGCCATGTTCGCAGGAAAATCTCAAATGGCTCTCGACGCAGTGACGCGCATGGAAGCCACCGTCCCCGAGGAAGTCCTCCGGATCCAGTCCCCGCCTATGGCTGACTGGCTCGAACAATTCCTAACCAGCCGGCTGCATGTAATGGTGCGCTTTGGCATGTGGGAGGAGCTGAAACAGAAAGAGCTGCCAACTGATCAGACTCTCTACTCCGGCACCACGGCCATGACGCACTACGCGCGGGGAGTCGCCTTCGCCGCTACCGGGGATGTCCCGACAGCTCGTAAGGAGCAAGAACGGTTCAACCAGGCATGGAAGCGTGTTCCAGAGACCCGTCTCGCTTACAACGGGAAGATTGTCGACGTGCTCCAGGTGGCTGCGGCCATGTTAGAAGGTGAGATTGAGTATCGGTGTGCGAACTACGATCAGGCCTTTGCTGCTCTGCGTCGTGCTATTGATATCGAGGATAAGTTGCCCTACAGTGAGCCGTGGTCGTGGATGCAGCCTTCTCGTCACGCGTACGCGGCTCTTCTGATGGAACAGGGTCATCTGGAGGAAGCAGCGCAAGTGTATCGTGCGGATTTGGGACTGGATAACACGCTTGTTCGTCAGTGCCGTCATCCTAATAATGTATGGTCGCTGCAGGGGTATCATGAGTGCTTGGTGAGACTGGGGAAGCTGGATGAGGCAGCAATGATTGAGCAGTCGGTTAAATTGGCTCTTGCGGTGGCAGATGTCCCCATCAAGGCGTCGTGTTTCTGCAGACTGGATACTTCCCAGGCGCCGCAGGTTCTCGATGGTTGTTGCTCTAAGGAGTGATTTGAGTTTTATTTGCAATGTGGATGCTTTTCCACATGGGCTATTATGTATATGACTGCGCGGGAGTTGACATATCCAGAATGAGCGGTCTAATTCTGTGAAATATCCTTTTGTCCTTTATACTATCTGCATAATAACCTCTCCGTACTCCAATCCCATCCATGATAAAAAAAACGCAATTCGCTAGAATCCAGGGCAGTCAAACGCCACCCTATACCAAGTGCACTGAAAGTCATCGCCCTTCTCGCAGTCATCCCAAACACCCCCCGAGGGCATGCTATACCCATACAAGCCATCACTGTACGCAATTTCATATTTGAGGTAGCAAGATGGATAACCAAAGACGTTCTCAATGTCCAGAGTATACGGCAGCTGCGAAGTCATGGCGTCGCCCTGTGTGAAGTTCTCCACATGGCCGATGATCCTGCAAGCGTGATCGAAGAGGTAGGCGGAGTTCATCGTTTGGTGGTAGCAATCGATACCAGGATATAATTGGTATACGCCGAATTGGCAGCTGCCTTTGCCTTGGGGTTGGCAGAGCTTAGCGCCGGAGGGGATATCGTCGCTATCGGAGGCGAGAGTGAGCGTAGGGATGAGGGGGAGGAGGAGGGTCGGGATGAGTTGGAGTGGCTTCATATTGGCTGTGTCTGCCTATTGTGGGTGATTGTTTGAGTTGTTTGATAAGAAGGTTCAATTGAGATCGATTCTGGGGTATATTGTTCAATGCATGTAGAAAGTGTATCTGGAGATCAAGACAGAAAGTGTGCCCCTGCCGCAACTTATAGACTTTTCTCCGTGCTTATGGGGGCAGCTAATCTCGAATGCTACTACAGGATCAGGCACCGCCCCGGGTTGTATGGAGATCGGCAGTCCTAGCCAGGAACTGGGGCCAAAGGGGCCAAGGAAGGGGGCCAAACGTGTGGAGGAAGCGGTTCAACCTAGTGCCTATTAGGGCAATAATATTGCGACGTGCTGAACATGCTCATGTCTTCGGTGCATGGTGCCGTGAGCTTATCTTAGTCTGGGGTGATGTGTAGAATGGGGCTCTCCACAATGTGTATCTAACAACTCTCAGTGGCTGGGTCGAGATCGGTACCTTCGGTATGATGGTACTGGGGCCCAGGTCAGACACAATTTTTGGGAAGGCCAGAATTCATGAAGTTTCCGCATCATATATACAATTGTACTGGTATTGAAGCAGTCGGGAAGAAGAACGGCCACGCCTCGAAGCAACAACCATTCAGTCAGCAAGTCAAATCAATTTAGAAGAATTGGCCCCACACGAGGCTGTACTCTACCGGACTTGCCCGACGGTCAGAGCGTAGTGATCTAAATAATCGAAAGTACGGTTGGTCTGTCTCTCATTCTGTGTTTGGCTATGAAATTGGGGTCTAGCACTTCGTGTTGCCTACATGGATGGTCGGCGCCATGCCTGAGAAGGGGACGGCGGCGTTCACGGAAAACATTTCCGCTCGGATCGTTGGACCTAGTCGGACAATAAGTTACCTGTGGGGTGCGTTTGTTAGATTTTAAATTAGAAACAAATCAAAAGAGCACGCGCAAACGGCATATGAAAAGCAAAAAGACAAATCAAGCACACACGCCAATTGATGGCGCTGCTGGGAATCGAACCCAGGTCGAAACGGCGCTGCGGAGAACCACAACGTTTCATGATGACCACTACACTACAGCACCTTGATCTGTGACAGGCGGCCGCTTTTTTTACATTACCAGCGACTTTGTACTCGCAACCACTAAGGTCTCAGTATTTACTTAGACAGTCCCCTTCATGGTTATGAAGCTGGAGAAAAGTACGCGGAAAGAACAACTTCTGATTCGCTTCCAAAGCAGCCCAATAATAGGGTACCCACAAGGCCTGGCCAGCGCCTCACCCCCCCCACTCCCTTGGGCACCACCATTGCCTGAATCACGCAGGAGCTGTGATGGAAAGGCCTGACAGCTCTGCGTCTTCAGGAAGACTACATCCGGTGGCATATCTGTCACGCCTGACAGAAGTTGACCTCATCGTGATGTCTCAGAGTTAGTGTTTGTTGGACTTTATGCCATTTATGCCATGGTTTATTTGAAGAAGCTAATAATTTGTACATTACGGTCAGACCGTATTAACTACCTGATATTGGTTTTCATGTATATCTTCTACAAGACACCCTTCAATCCGCTTGACTTTTCGTCCCTCCCACCATGACATTACCCCAGCTGAAAGGGAGCTGAAACAACCGAGGCCGATGAAAAGTCCGACTCCGTAGCTTGGGCGATTATGCCGGTTGTAGCACCACATAAATGCCGCCATGCCGACTTGGAAGAGAGTGTTCAATAGCATGTTGATTATGACGAAGTCCATTTTCCATTCGCTGGTAGGTGGCGCAACCTTACCGGTCAGGGTCGTTTGCAAGGTCAATTCATCAGAATCGGAAGATTGTAATCTGAACCAGCTGGCGTTTCGCTTTGCAAGCTTCTCTATTGACTTTCTCGATTTTACGCCGTCGCACAGGCGCCATTGGAGTAGCCAATATGTATCGCGAATTCGCCATGGTGCCAAACCCCACGAGGTCAAGCAGAACAAGCCATTCAGAATCTGAGAATCTATTTCAATCCAAACCTCCTTCTGCTCCTTGGTCATGGATCCGACATTCAATAAGAGAAAGAATAGCATGGCGCCCCAGGCAATTACGTTAAGACCGTAAACAGTTATGAAGAAGCCCGTGGGTGTGCAGAGGAATTCCCACGTCACAAGCGGCAATCTTTTGCATGTGTCGCGCCACGAAACAACTCCCACAGAGAGATCTGAATAGTGGTCGCGATCTGGCTGAGCCCCAAGGGGGAGCACTGGGTCCTCTTCTTCCCAGCGGCCAGGATCGATAGCGGGGGCTGTCGCTCTTCGGGGAATAGGGCGGTCAATCGCAGGTTGAGTGTTGCTTCGACGTACAGTGCGAGCGTGGAAATCAAATGCCACCTCGTCAAACGATCTCAGATCGGCAAAATTTGGGGCGTGTGCGATAGCAGTCCCTGTGGCTTGCCAAACCCCCGCCGCAGGATTAAAATCAAGCAGCCTCGCGGCGGAAGAAATAGAGGCGGAGCGCAAAGTGCGTCCTGCCTGAAACAGAGGCATTGTTGACCGGCCTTGCCTGTCCACTGCAGCTGAATGATCATCGGTCATTCTACCCAGTTTTGGTTGCTGGGATAGTTGTGAAGTAGATGAGGTGGTCATTTGGACAGAACCCAACAATTTAGTAGTTAAAACATATCACACAACACCCAAAAAACCAAAGGCTGTGGTTAGACAGCGGGGGTTCATTTAAAGAGCAGGGCTAGTGGCACTTCACAGTGGCAATTCACTCAGCAATTGAGTATCACAAACACGGCAATCATACCCACCTACCATACAGGGTAGAGGGTAGATAAAGGGTCTTGTTATACGTACCCTTCAATGCGTTGTTCGTATATTCGTATCCTCTTAGATAACTAAATATAGACTAGCTCTAACTATAAGGCTAGGCTATATCGGGTATAGTGCCAATCCCTCTCTTACATGAGTATTCTTTTTGTCATATATGTACAGACACGTAGAATTTTTTTTTTTCTTTTTTTTTTTTTTATTCTTTCTTTCCTATTTTTCTACCTCTTTCAGATTTGCTCAGGAATCTTTTCCAAAGCTCTTTATAAATATTTTTTTAAAAGCCCTATTCCCGGTAGATGCCTCCATATGGATTTAATAAGGTATTAGTAAGATGAAGTGTCTGGATGATCTCAGAGATGTTTTGGAGAAGAGCTTCTTCGAAAAATGTTAAAGGGGCTTTAGTTAGAGGATTTTAGTAGAGGGGAAAAGAATCCCAGTCACAGCTAAAGTTCGCCGGTCAACCTTGGCCGCTGCAGCTGTCTCGTTCCTCGGGTCGTGGCTCTGGCGCAAGTCGTAGACCTCGACCTACACCATGCAAGCAAGAGTGGACGGACACATCAGTGAGACCAGGGAAGCTCAGAATAATATAATGCCATAGAAGTGGCAAAAACATACAACAGAAGGGATTCGCTGGTGGTCACCCACCCAACTACTAACCTCCCGGCGTGTGGCTTAAGTACGGCTGAGCGGACGGGAAGCCCTGTTTTCCACACCCTGTGGTCGTATGTGCTTGTTCAAAGTTCAACTAGAATAAGGAAGCCTGTAAGGAATAAACACCGAATACTTGTTTTTCCTGGAGGTTACAATTTTAGGAAAGTAATAAGTATGTGTGATCACGTATTGGTGTGAGGCATGGTCAGAGTATAGTATACCAAATCCCACCATACAGGCTGATCATCAACTTTCGCATAAGTAATGCTTGACGAGCAAAAGAGGAAGTTGTGTTGGCCCTTTGCGGGACGCAGGGACATGTATATAGTATATTCGAAAGTATATCCACGGGCCCATCCTCGAAACCATCCACTTTACTAATGGAGGTAGTCCCGTCAGGGCAGTAATCCCGCGTGTGAATGGCGTTCTAAGGGAGCATTTGGCAAGAAGTTGTGCTCTTGGCAACCCCTGTCCTGTTCATACTCGTCACTGACATCATTGCAGCTGCACCACACGGTCGCCTGCATGAGACATTTGATACTTATGCCCACAGTCTTTAAAAGCAACCACCAAAAGGCTCATTGGTGATTTCAATGGCCAATTATGCACATGAAACAGTGCTTCTCAGCTACTGCTGTTCTCCAAGCGATACGTTCCCCTAGGGGACATTAGATTGTACCCAGATCTGAACAGTTGGAACATGATTTCTCCTTCCAGTTAGTGGCTGCTGTGCACCAGATTTATCCGTGGCCCTTGCTTGAACGTGATGTCTCCCGGTTCGGTGAACTTCCACTCGAAAGGAGAATAGCTGCCACTCAAACTGCTTCCGCGGTGACACAATTGCCTCATCCCAATTGTCCCCATCGAGACTGACTTCAACCCTCACAATCTCGTCTGCCCCCCATGCGCGCCCCCAGCCCTCAATGTACCCGAGACCGACAATTACATCGTCCGGACGAGGGCGGACAATCATCGAATTTGGCTCAACCCTCCAAACGGGTCTTTTCCGGACCCCTTCGGAGTCCGTTGGATCAAGCTCATTATAAAAGATAGTAGTAAATGGCCCTTTCGATCTTGTTGCCTGCACAGATAATTGACACAACCACTTTGTGGAATTCGTCCCAAACCATCCTGGAACAACTAACCTCACTGGTCCACCGCGCTCCTTAGTCAACGGCTGGCCATTCATTTCGTAAGCAACAAGAACTTCGCATGATAAAGCTTTCTTGATGGGTAAGTCCTTTTGGTACCTTTCGGCTGAGACGCCGGCAAATTCACCCGAGTCCAGCCCATCGGACCAAACAAACAGTCCTCGCTCAAGATCTGGCCGAGCAATGGACAGCAGATAATGCAGCGGGACGCCCATCCATTTGACATTGCCAATGCGCCAAACATTCTCTGTGGGAGGATTTATGGGGCTGCCGTAGCATTCATGGAAAGAGGTGACTGTCTCGGACGGCATCTTTCGTAATTGATCGAGATTGATGGAAAAAGGGCGCTCAACAAGCCCGTCTACGATGAGCTTCCAGCGCCCGGTATCCACGACGGCGGCTCCCATGTGAATAGTCTGGAATAATTTTGATTCCGATGTTAGATCCCGATCGAGTTCATGGGGTGAAGGGGGATGCCGTATGTAATTATAGCATGGAAACCACGAACATCTTGTATTACAAAGTTATATCAGAAAACTGAATATAGGAATCAAAGAAAGTGGGAAAGGATATTCTATAACCGTCAAGAAATTTGGCCGAGCCATGGTGGCCGTACCCAGGCTGTGGGCCAATGGGGTCTCGGTCAGTCCTGTGCCACTGGTTGGAACAAAACAGAGGCCGACGACCAGAGAATTATTTTTATTCCTGGTAGTAAAACGGGCAAAAGGCCACTCTGCCCACACCACAGCAGCCCGTACAGCAGCCCGAAGAAGGATTTGGATCCCCAGGAATAACTAGTTGGCGTACTTGCTCCACGAGCGCAGACGCTTTCCATACTATCGAAGAATTAGCTAAATCTCCATATTCTTTGTAGCAATGGAGATATCTTACCCGCTCCAGAATAAAAGGTAAGGGAAGCATTGCAACAGAAATAAAGCCCAACGTGCTCGACGACCATCCAATGCCGAGCGACTTCAGCATCTGCGGAGCAGCCAAAGGTAATGCACCGCCGAATGAGCTTCGAAAGAAGGTATTTCCAGCAAACACACTTGCTATATATCTTGGATAGGACTCTCCGAGGTAATTTAGTACAGATTGGAATGTGAGATAGAAGCCTGGTGCAAAGAAAGCAGTCCCAATGATAGGAACGATCCAATGTACGCTAAACCTGTGTTAATGCTGGGTTGTGCATATTAAACGGCATTGATGCGCTTACCTCTCTCGAGATGTCCAGGCGAAAATGAAGAGGCAGATCGGAATGCACACTGCTCCGATTTGACCGGGGATTAGACGCGCTTCAGGTTCGACGATGATGTCCGAATTTGCGACCCGTGGCTGGTATGAAAAGTATAACCATAGGACGTATACAATGACGGAAAGTGCGGCACCAACGAGAATACCGAAGAATGCAACTTGAATACAGATTAGTTTAGTTTCAAAGAGAGTTTGGTTAGCGACTTACGGCCTTGCTGAATATCATTGAAATGGTAGATTCCATCGAACACTATGACCTGTGAGTAATTTGTGGGCAAGTACGGCCAAAATTGGGTTAACTCACCGAATGGAAAGAACTCAAACCATAGGTACAGTATGCCATAGATGAGCATTGTATGCATGTTGACAAATAGGATCACTGGGTCCGTGCAAGAGAGTTTGAAGTCATCCACTGTTTGTCTAGCAATGCGCACGGCAAGAGATGCGCCTGGTGTATCTAATTCGGCTCGACTTTGATATGCAGGGTCTCCCGTCTGCCGACGTAGTCTTTTTGCACGGCGTAAGAGGATGTTGGTGCTCAATGTCTCGGGCAATAAGAAGAATATAAACACTGTCGTAAAAGCCGTGACACCTGAGAGAAGCCACAGAGTCGCGGTCCATGTTTGCCAGCGCTCTCTATGTTGTCCATTAGCATCAATATTGCCGAATTAGAGGGATCAACTCTTACATTACCAGAGTCCCGAGTATCTATAGTCACCTAGTTAGCTCATATACACCAAATAGCTCGACGGAAAATGACATACCGGCCCTAAAATCGGCCCGCAGACTCCACTGACCGCGTACAGGGCAATTGCATACGGGCACTGGTTAGGCTTGAAGACCTCCATCAGTGTAGCGCCTCCCACACTAATAGGTGCACTTCCGACTAGACCTCCAAAAAAGCGTAGGACTAGTATGGTTTGCAGGTTCTTGGCCAGGGCAGTCCCAATATTAAACAGGCAAAATGCAAAAGAGCCGAGAACATATACCGGAGTGCGTCCAATCGAGGGTAAATTGGACAGAGGAGAAAGCTGGAAGCATTCCGTCATTAGCAAACAAGATTAAGATCATATGTGAATGGGAAATGTCGACGCACAATGAGAGGCCCAATGCCATATGCTATAACGAAAAGGGAGAGTCCCAATGTTCCTTCGGCAGTCGTCGCACCTAAATCATTCTCAATCAAGGGAATACTCGGCGTGAATATTGCTGACGCCGCGTAGAAACTGAAGTTCAATAACATCACATCGATCATGGCAACTGTCTTCGCCAACATTGGCCAATTCCTGGGAATGTCTGGATCATCGGGTCCGCTAAAATCCACAAGGATAAGGTCAAGAGCATCTGGAGATGTAGGCGACGGACTCTCGCTCGTTGTCACTTCACTTTTCGATTTTGCATGGTCTGGGGCCCGAAAGAGGTTGCCATTGGAGAGGTAGTTGAGAATTCGGCCGAATGCACTTTCTCGCAATAAGACATCCATGCTGGAGGACACAGCACTCATGTAATGAATGATATGTAGTATGCTGTAAATTTGGCTGTGGAATATAATAGAAAGTTGTTTTATAGAAACGAGCGACAGATAGAAAGCAATCTTTACATGCTCTATGGTCCATCTATTGAAGTTTTATATATGGATGAGGAACCTACTGCAACTCCGAGGGCAAATAAATCTGTCATCGGAATTCCGAGCGTATAAATGAAATTAATTTGCATACT